TCTTGCCCCCACCTCCTCTCTGACCTCGTCAAATGTATTGTTAAATACATATTATGGGTCTACTATGTGCTAAGTGCTTTTTAGGCATTTGGGGTATGTCAGTGAACAGACAAGAATCCCCCCCGCAATGGAGATTATTTTCTAGGAGACAGATGGGACATAAATGACACATATAATAAATAAGTTAATATGGTAGAAGGTGATAAGGGACACAGAAAAACATAAAGCAAAGTAAGGGGAATCAGGAGTGCCAGTGTTAGGATGAGATACAGATTCTATTTTAAATAGGGTGGTCAGAATAGCCCTGATGCAGCCCTTCTCTAGGCTTCAGCTACACTCCTTTCTGTCCCTCAAATATGGCAAACTCATTCTCTCTTTAGGGGTTTTGGCTAACTCATGACTGGTTCCTTTGTGTCATTCAGATTTCAGCTTTAAAAGGTCCACAGAGGCCTTCCCTTGATTATCCAGTCTAAGGTAGCTACCCAGTCACTTGCATCATCTCTCTGTTGATTTCTTTTATATCACTTATTCATTGAATTAACTCATTCAACAAATGCAAATGCTTGCCACATTCTAAGCATTTCTAGGGATATAGCAATGAACAAGAATCAAAATTCCTGCCCTTATGTAACTTATAATCTGGTAGAGAGGGAACAAATAAAGCTATAGTGTTAGGTATTGGGATGATGAAGGAAGGAGCTGCTCCTTCCTATAAGGATGGTCATAGAAAGACTCAAGCTGGTCATAGCAAATGCCTGGAGGAAATAAGGGGGTGTCTCTATGGGGACTGGAGGAAATGTCAAGGAAAGAGCAACTTGAGATTCAGGCCTCATGGCTTGGAATGTAATTGTAGTGAAAAAAGAGACAAAAAGGTAAACTCATTTTTTTTTCCCCAGGGGAAAGTGAGACTGTTTAAAGCCATATTGAATTTGAGGTATCAGTAGAGCATCCCAGTAGGAACATCCAGCAGGCAGGTGGAAAGACAGGACTGAAACCTGGGATTTTAGGGCTAGCTGGAGATTTAGGAGTCATTTATGTAAAAGTGAAAGATAAGTTTGTAAGAAGAGATGAAATTTACAAAAGACTGAAGGAGTGCTAAAGACTAAGGGATTCAGCTGGGTGTAGTGGCTCATGCCTATTGTAATCCCAGCAACTCAGGAGGCTGAGATGGGAGGATCGCTGGAGCCCAGGTGTTTGAGGCTTCAGTGAGCTATGATTGCATCACTGCACTCCAGCCTGGGTGACAGGGTAAGACCCCATCTAAAAATTTTTTTAAAGTCTTAGGGGATTCAAAAAATATTTTAGGATTGTAATCGAACATTTCTTGCTGGTATTTTTCCTAAGTCTCCTGTCCATTATTCAGCCCCATTATAATGCATGTGGCCTTGTCTGTCTTGTTGACTGCCACAATTTCAAGTGCATAAGAGTAACAGGAACATAGTAGTGCTTGGGAAACATACAAGATGAATGAATACATTGTTTGCCTTCCTCTTTAGGCATTTTTAGCTAAGAAAATAACCAATGTCTATAGTTCCTTTTAAGAAACACTCAGCATCTCTCAGAATATCTACCTCTGGTGCATTCCTTTCAGTGTCTGTACACGTGTTTAATGCTACATTCAGTACCTGCAATTTATTTCTAATGACTTCACTGCCTAATATTTATAGATCATTAAAATATAAGCAAAGTAGGCTGGGCACAGTGGCTCATGCCTGTAATCCCAGCACTTTGGGAGGCCGAGGCAAGCAGATCATGAGGTCAAGAGTTTCAGACCAGCCTGGCCAACATGGTGAAACCCCATATGTACTAAAAATTAGCCCAGCGTGGTGGTGCATGCCTGTAATCCCAGCTACTCAGTAGGCTGAGGCAGGAGAATCGCTTGAACCCAGGAGGCGGAGGTTGCAGTGAGCCAAGATCGCACCACTGCACTCTAGCCTAGGTGATGAGCGAGACTCCATCTCAAAAAAAAAAAAAAAAAATTATACACACACAAAGTAATCCAAGAAAGACAAAATGGATACCAACATCTTTGCACTGAAGACTACAAAAAGCATTAGACCTAACTTTCAGCTGACAGGCTGCAGACTCTACAAAGCCTTCTGCTCCTGATGGGACAGGTGAAATAAATCTGGGTGTGTTCAGACGAGATGACTAAGGCAGCATTACTGTCCTTTTCCAGCTGCATGGCTTGTGCAATTCCTTCTAAATGGCACTCATTTCCTTAAGCTCTG